ACTGGAAGAAGAAGCAGGAGACAGCCAGTTCCACTGTGGGCCCGATAGAAGCCCTCTGGGGGCCTGATCCGGCCCATGGGCCACATGTTTGACACCCATGCTCTAGGTGGCACTCTTGAACCCTAGTAGTAAGGTTTTAGGGTTTCTATCACAAAAACTAACATAGCTACAAGATCTAAAACTGTAAACATGCAATACCTAGCTGAGGTCATTTCCAAAAGCGTAAAATCAAAGAGTAATTTATAGTTCATATGGAAAAAAAAGATAACAAAATATTAGTATCAGCAGTTGCATTCCCCTGCCCCCAACCTAAACCCTGTTCACAACAGTCTCTCTCAGAGGAGAAAAATAATATGGTGGGCATGGCAAGGGATATAAGATCAATTTCTGTGGATTCCCCTCCACCCCCAGCCTTGTCTACTGAAAGACCACAAAAAGAAACCATGCTTTTAAAAAGGAGGGAGTTTCTAGGAGCAGATTCAGGTTGTCATCTTCCACACTCCAAAATATTCTTCAGAATTTGAACTGATCTCTGTCGAACAGGTTTGTGACATTGGAGCAAGTTATGACTCCAGATACTCCTTCAGATTCCGGTACCTGAAAATTTTGATTATGTTCTTACCTCAGTCCAGATTTTTTGCTTGCAAAAAGATCTTATTCAAATTCACTACTTCCATCAGGAAATCCTGGCACAGAAACATTAGAGGGATATTAAGACCCATGCCCATTTCATTAGACTTTTAAAAACTGGCTGTTTTCATAGGTTTCAAATGTTTGATCATGGGACCAGCATTTTCAGGGGGTCTAGATGAAATGAGCTCCATAGAAGCATTCTACTTGCCACTCATATCCCTCTGGCAGCTATAATATTTCTCTATGGAGTTAATCCAGGAGGGATATAACATTTTTACTGTCCATGCCTTCAGGAGGCCTCTATATCCATTGGAGCTGTTTATTTGGCCCTGCATGTCCTAAAGACACTTGAGTCCCTGCTTTCAAGTTTAGAAATGTTTGACTTGGCAATAATGAATCATACCACTGCTTGGGGCCAAACTAGACATGACTGCTTCCTCATGGCCTCTAGTAGGACACTACCATTTTAAAGTAATTTTTAACTGTTCAAGAGCCCAATCCTAATAGGTGTGTGCAGGGGTGTATGTGTGGCCATTACACTACTTGATAAGGTGTGTGTGTGTGTGTGTGGGGGGGAACAGATAATTCTGTGGGCATTTTAGAAACACTTTGAAATGGGGGCAGTGTCCCTGTGGCAGCCATAAAGATGCCATCACATCTAGTTTGGCCCTTGGTTAAGAGAGACTTTCAACTGAGCTGACCTCTCAGTTAATTAGAGTCAGGGGTCGTTTCGTAGAAAAAGACCTAGGGGAACTCATTAGCATAACTCATTAGCATATGCCACACCCCCTGACATCACCGGAAGTGTGTCATAAGGCCACACCCCCTGACATCACCGGAAGTGTGTCATAAGGCCACACACACCACCCCCAACGGTCCCGGCTGCCGCTGCTGTCCTTGCAGCTCCACTGCCGAGCCCCATGAGGGACCCGGCAGTGGACCTGCAAGGCCGGCGGGAGTGCAAGGAAACCCTGCGAAGGCCCTCCCTGGCCCCAGGCAGGCAGGGGTGGGGAGAGGCAGGGAGGAAGCAACTTACCCTCCCTCTTCTCCTGCCTCCTCCTGGCTGAATGAGGGCCGGAAGCAGGGCGGCCGGAAGCAGGGGGCGGGGCTTCGTCATGTGCCCCGCCCCCCGTACCTCACCCGGGGGAACTGCGATCCCCCGCGATCCCCCCCGAAATGACCTCTGATTAGAGTAAGGCAAAGTTTTGACTGACCTCAGGGCAAATCCCAACAATGCAGATAGTGATGGGCCTTGTTCCCACTCTGTAAGCTCATGGGTGTGTGCCATTTTAGCTAAACTATCAGCCTTCTACTTTGATTTTGTATTTAGCCCAACGGGTTCTACACACAAATAAATAACAATTGCTTAGAGTAGGCAAATTTAGGTTATCTAAGACTTCCATTATCGGAAAGTCTAGATATAATTCAAGGTGGGTGGGTTGCAGCCTCTCAGCAGACGCTTGGGGCAGCAGCCATATTTTCTAGATGTCCTGCTAGAAGTCATTCCATTCCATTTTGTGAGACTATACTTGGCATGAAGCAGGTTGTGTCAATACAAATGCAATCTGTAAGGTCAAGAAAGTGCAAATCTTGCTCAGGGGAAGACATATTGGGCAAAAATGGACAAAACAGGGATATACTACTTTTGTAGTACTTGGAGGGTTGCCAGCCCCCTGCTGGAGGTGGGGAATCCCCTATTCCTGTCCCCCAACTGGCGATCTTACCAGGAGCAGGAGGGAAGCCCAGGCTATGTCACCGGTGATGTGGCAACATCACTTCCAGCATGTACTGGAACTGATGTCATTGTGTTGGCAATGTCACAGTGACACTCTGGTATTCGGGCAAAAACTCTATGGTAGAAGCCATTTTTACCACAGAGTTTTTGCCTAAATCCTACAGTGTCACTGTGATGGCACAATATGATGATGTATGTACAATGTGATGTGGTGTGTACCAGAAGTGACGATGCTGGTGACATAACCTGGGCTTCCCTCCTGCTTCTGGTAAGGTCCCATCCCCCCACCCCAATTGCCAGGAGGGATCTGGCAACCCTAAGTATATGTGATATGTCCATTGTTTGTAGTCTCCAAACCTGCTTAATCTGTGATTTTTTAAAAACTGAATTAACTGGATAAATAAAAAATATAGAATTGAAGCTAAGGCTATGTTAATAAAAATTAATTAAAATTTAATTGAATATAGGCATCAGTCGTAGTATGTAATTGCGATGATAAATACAGCAGCATACCATTCTTTAAACTTCACCATGTAGCATTATAATACATAGCAACCAAAGTTAGGTTCTCTAACAAAAATATAGCGTATACATTTCTCTGCATGGAAATTATATGAATGTTTTACATTATTTTACATAACTTGATACAAAACATTGAAAAATGTTGGCACATCAAATAAGCTACAATCATGGTCATTTTACCGTCAGTAGTAATACTGTATATTTACTCTGTCTGGTTTGTCTTCCTGGATTTAGCATAAAACACTGGGTAGAGACCAGATTAAGGTAGGTCCCTTTGATTCAGGCTCTTTAACCCACTTTGGCTTCTGAAGGCAAACAGAATTTTTTAAAGTTTTCATACACCTCAAGGATAAAATGCATCCACTCCCACACATACACAAACTCCACAAAGGAGCAAAACAGGTTTTAGACACCCCAGATTAACACTTCATTAATTTAGATCTAGGGGGACAGCCATGCTAATTTGCTGTTTAACCTCTGTATATATATATGAACTGTTAACTTCCATTCCAATGTATCTGAGGAAGTGTGTGTGCACACGAAAGCTCATACCTTGAATAAAACTTTGTTGGTCTTAAAGGTGCCACTGGACTCAAACTTTGTTCTGCTGCTTCAATAACTGTGGGAGATCAGCATTTTATCCTTAAGGTGTGTGAAACCTTAACAAAAATCTGTTCACCTACAGAAGCCAAACAATTTAAAGAGCCCCATGAAAGGGATCATAACCTTCCTCTTGAGGGCAATGTAATACTTTCTATTTCAGTCTTTCCATGATGTTAAATATTAGCAGAATAATTAGAAGGAAGGACCGTCTAATAGCCAAATAACGTGATAATTATATAAGCCAATGGTCTAAATGAAGATATAATACTTAGGGAATGCTGCTGTCCAAAACTAATAATCAAAAGCAATTGCCCAGTTTGCTAGAAAAGTCTCCTACATAAACCCTATCGAAAATGAATTGCACAAAAGCATAGTTGAAACCCCGCACAACTCCCATTCATTTTGATAGCAAAGCTCTGCAGATGAGTCTCCCAAAATAGTGTTCCCAATGAGATCAAAAGGAATACAAAAATATTTGTGGTTTGGTAGCTGCAGCATAAACTTCATACTTTGAAAAATACATTGAAATGTACATTAAACATTTTCCTTAGCACTATTAAAATGAATTGTACCTTATTAGGGTTCAATTATTTAATTTTTTAAAGTTAGCTCTATTACCCTTTTGAAGCAGCGTACATCAAATACTGATACAATCCTGGGTTGTCAACATTACTGGAATCTATATTAATACATACGTGATCTTGCATTCCTAATGTTAAGGTCAATATTTTATGCATAACTTGCTATGGCTGCAATCCAGACCACCAAGGCACAGGGGTTTCCTGTCTCTCTGAGAGAAACAATGCATTTGCAGCTGTTTTCCTTCTCCTAGAGAGAAACTAGGAGGCCTCTGTATGGGTGTGGATTCAGGAGACCTTTGTAAATATGGCTCATGTGTATAAGGGTTTTATTTTAAACTTATGGCTCGTATGTATAAGCATCTTTCATATTCTGCTCCTAAGATCTTTTACACCAGCAAATTACTTAGTCTAAGCATGTGTACTGAAGAGGAAACATAATGTTGTGCTACTGCTGCTGCAGGCAGGCAATTTAGAATAATTGCTTGTATAAACTTCCACAATATGGCTCACTGTCCCCTGTTAGAAGGCAGAGAAAAGTATGGATTGGATCAGATTTGTGAACAGTAATGTTTCCTACTGTTAATTTTATAAAGCAAGCAAAACAACAAATGCAGATGTTCCTTATGTACCCAGAAACGCCACTGAGCATGCTGAAGATCCAATTTTCCAGAGATATCAATTGTGGGCACATCCCTGTTGTGTATACAAACTGCCCCAACATGGAAGTCCACAAGGAAACCTAATAATACAGGAACTCAGTAGTCACAGGCAGATTTAGAGAAGACTGAATGCAAATGAAACAGAACAAAGTTTGAAATTATTGTGTGACACAACTGTTCTTACATTCAGTAAAGGTTAACAATCTTTTAAAAAACGAACACAAAATAATTATCTCCTTTCTCTCTCTCTCTTTGCATTATGTTTCACTTGAGATATTAGCAGCTTCTGTAAAATTCTGCAAGCTTTATCAAAACTTGGTTGCCACTCCAGCTAAACATATTTTAATAGTGTACTGCCCTCTTATCAGGATTTATACGCATGATGAATTTTGCCCTGAAAAGAAAAGTATACCAATTGCTGAATTACAACCATTTTATAAAACTATCTTTAAAAGGACTTGTTGTGCCGCAAAAACACAGTATTTCTATAAAGCATTCATTGGTCTCTAGATTATCATCTTTATAAAAACAAAGTTTTGTAGAATTTAGGACTATTTAAAAGCGAGAAACAATATTTTTCTCCTTGCTGCCCAGTCGGATACTTCATTGTGAAGGATATTCTGTCCCACTTGGGTCCATACCAGTAAATGGTTCACAGTGAGAGTGGTAGGCTATGATGTTCCACTTCTTCTCTTCAGCTTCCATTGTTGTTCTCTGAAGGAAGCCTGAGGCTTCTACACTTTAATTCATCTAATGTTTTCCAGTGTTTGTAATTATTTGCCAAGTGCTGCATCAGAACAGGTAGGTGTGCAAATGCTGAAAGAGAGAGAACCAGTGCCGTACTGCAAAAAGCTGAAATGTACAGTGTAAATTTCAGGAAACACTCCTTCCTATCCACAGTAGGACCCTTTCTGTTAATCTCCAATAAACTGAAAATGGAATTATAACTGTGGTTCCACACAACACTTAATATAACCCTGTATGTTAATAACAGTCCTTTAATGTCCATAAAGGTAAAGGTTTCCCTGGCTCAAAAGCTAGTTGAATCTGACTCTAGGGGGTGGTGCTCATCTCCGTTTCCAAGTCAAACAGCCAGCGCTGTCCGATGACGTTTCTGTGGTCATGTGGCCAGCATGACTAAACGCCGAGGCGTACAGAAGGCTGCTACCTTCCCACCAAAGTGGTACCTATTTATCTACTTGCATTTTCTTGCTTTCGAACTGCTAGGATGGCGGGAGCTGGGGCCAGAGATGGGAGCTCACTCCGTCACGTGACACTAGGGTCTCAAAATGCCGAACTACAGACCTTCCAGTCTGTAGCCCAGCATCTTAACCTCTGAGCCACCGTGGCCCTCATAATGTCCATATGCAAGATCTTAAGTACATTTACTCAAAATACCCCATTAAGCAACAACAGCAAAAAAAATTCTTAGGATTATGCCTTCAACCCGAGGTCTCCTTGTTTAAAGCAGTTTTTTATTCTCCCAGCGGTTTATTGAATTTGACTGTTGATTCTTGAATTGTTTTCCACTGAAATATTTAATTAGCACATTTGAGGAAAACTGAATATATAGTTTTAAAAGTAAGGTCAAATTTGAGAGATAGAGGGTCAAAGGACCCAGCATTAGGGGGGTAGATGTCCAAAAGGCAGACCTATCTGAAAGAAAGTAATGGAACAAGAAAGAATGCTTGGAGAATACCATTTTCACAGTAGAAAGGTATGATATACCATGTTTTCAAGAAATAAATAAAACTGTTGTGCTATGTTATTAGGTGGAACAAGATTTGGATTATATTGTTCATATACAAGGAAGAATAAACCTCCAAAAAACCTGCAACTTTTTATAATGTCTCTGAAGAATCTATTGAAAATAAGATTAAAAAGTAAACATGCTATGCCTTCAAGAGAGTAGCTGCTGAACACAAATTTCTATTTGTTTTACTACAGCTATCATGTAACAGCGACTTGAAGCTATAGTTTGGGTATTGTATTTTACTGTAAAATCAGCTGAGTGGCTCATCCTTAAGTCAGTATAAAATGTGATGAGGGTATTTTTTAAAACTTGCATTCACCATTAACCTGTATAGCTACCAGCAGAGAGTGATCTTTTTGTCAAATTCTGTTCTCTCTCCCACTGCTCCTCCAGGTGTATGTGTGTGTATCTGTCTGTCTGTCTGATTTTTATTTATTTTGTTTTATTTATACCCTGCCCTTCACTACCCAAAGGAGTCTCAGAGCGGCTTACAAAATCCTTTCCCTTCCCCTACCCCTAACAGACACCCTGTGAGGTAGGTGGGGCTGACAGAAACTGCTCTTTTTCAAGAACAGCTCTTATCAGAACTACGGCTTGCCCAAGGTCATCTAGCCAGGTGCAAGTGGAGGAGTGGGGAATCAAACCCGGGTCCCCCAGCTTAGAGTCCACGCACTTAACCACTACACCAAACTGGCTATTCTGGTTAGATAGAACTGTAGTCACATACACTGTTCTTGTTTTGGGTAAGCAGCAAAGAAATAGTTCCTCAACTGAGAAAAATGGAACTTCTTACCATCCCAAGCATCAAACATGTCCATTATGAAGTAATCGATGAAGGATATCTGAGACTTGGGGATGCTACATGTGTTTCGGTCAAATACTGGCATAACAACTGGTAGTCCTTGCCTTTTTTCTTCATCAGTCTATAGGGAAAAAAACAGTTTTAGCAAAGCTGCATAAACAAAGTAAGTACTGGGCATTTGGGCAGCTATCCCATTGCCTAGTTAATCATCATGTTACAAACTGGCCTATGCAAAGTGCGTTGATTTGGCTCATGCATGAACCTTCGCTTGAAAAGTGGGAAATATTATTGCAGGTTAAAAAGAAACATCCTTATCTAAAATGGAGGTCATGGTGGTCATGGTGGTATCCCAGTTTTAACAGAAAAAATGCTGACTGAAGCCAAACTATGTACAAAAAGTTTCAGAGGGTTTCACACACCGATATGGATAAGGGTTAGGTCCTAGGAATGAGAGCCAGAGCACAGCTTCAGCCTCTGTCACTGAAAGCAAGCTGGGCAGGGCAAGATAAGGAAATGTGATGGCCTTGGCACTAGAGCACTATACAGAACCTTTGTGATCAGATGCAATGGCCTTCACATGAAGTGTACCTGCAAGCAACAGATACAAGGGGGAAAAAACAGAGAAAGGTCACATCCTAAATTAGAATCTTCCCAAAAGCAGCTCGGTGGCTACTCTGGACAGCCAAATGCTAGACTAAGATCCCAATCACAGCTGTGCGATAGGCATGAATGCTGGGCAGATTTTAAGGGCGCAGTCACATGGGAACATCTGGCAAGCATCCTGCACCCGTCGGCAACCCGTTTCGCTCTGCCGAAGAAGTGGAGTTAAAAAATACCGGGGAAAGTGCAGTATCAAACGGGTTTGCGATGGACCGCAGACGGAATTTCCCGTGTGATTGCTTTAGCGCGCTCCCATTGCATCAGTGATCCCTCGTTGAAGCGCACCAGAACTACGCCGTGAAGAACCCCCCCCCCGATTCACACGCCATTGCATCTGATCACGCAGTGGTGGGTCAAATTACTACGGAGCAAATAGCCTCGCTTCCCCACCGTGTTATCTGGCACGTGTGACCGTACTCTAAATGGAGCTTTGGTTGGATTCGAAAGGACACTTCCTACATCCATTGTGTGAGGCTGAAAGGAACTTCATGTGTCTGAGGTAGACTAGCTCAAGAGATTAAAGACAAATAAAACTCAAAACATTATGCAATTTGCTCAGAGTAAGTGGTGCTATCCTCACCTATTTCTGGAACATGCAAGGAAAAATAATACAATGTTTGCCATTTAATTTGATAGACTGTGGCTAACTGTATGTTTGCTCTAAGTTCTATGTTGCTGTCTATTATTCAGTTCCAGAACAAACTTCCATACCTGTGCAAAATATTCTTCTGAAATCCTGCCAGCCCATTCAATACACAGTTCTAGAGGTCGACATGGATTTGCAACATCTGCACATTTAATCATCATGCGCTTGATCAGTGTCTGATTATCTGGAAAATTCTTGAGATTGGTTGTACAGTCACAGTCACTACCTTCACTCTGCAAAACAATAAAGCAGGACAGTCTTGCAGCTCACAGCTAGAGAACACATAGTTGTTACAAGTTTTTAAATTATGCCATAATGTGATTACAAACTGCCCAGCATTCTGCACTGAAAGCTATAAGCACTCTGCACTGAAAGCCACCGCAGCTCCATTCATAAGTTAAACACAAGTGATTAAAAAAAGTTTTCTCTTTATTTAGACTTACCAAAGATATAATCGTATTATCATCTACATATCTAATAGTCAAGTGTGGGCTAATCTGCGGATATCTAAATCTGCTGATCAGGCTCACACTGACAGAAAGAAGAGTTGTATTTATACCTCCCTTCACTTGGAGTCTTAGAGTGGCTTACAATCTCCTTCCCTTCCTCTCCCCACAACAGTCACCCTGTGAGGTATGTGGGGCTGAGAGAGCTCTTTCGAGAACTACTCTTGAGATAACAGCTCTGAGAGAACTGTGACTGACCCAAGGTCACTCAGCTTGCTGCATGTGGAGGAGTGGGGAATCAAACTCAGTTTTCCAGATCAGAGTCCACCGCTCTTAAATGCTACACCAAAAGGAGATTTTCCTTCATTGTCCGCGGGGGGGGGGGGGGCAGATTTCTAGAAAAAAACTGAAAACCTTAAACAATTATATTTTAGGGGGGTAGCTAAATCAGCCGAAACAATAAAGCTGTCTGTGCAAGTGGAAATATCTTACATGAGCAACCTCCTGGATCTTTGCTGCTGGGGTTCTGCTGCCAATGTGGCAACTCTCAGGGCAAGGGCAGGCCCAGCAAAAGCAGGTCAAGGTAAGGGTGGGGAAAAAGAGAGATGAAGGAGATTTGAAACAGAGAAGGGAGAGAAATAGAGGGGGAAGACTGACAGAGAAGGATAGGGGGAGAAAGAGGGGGAAGACTGACAGATAAGGGAAGGAGAAGAAAGAGAGGAAGGTTGTCAGATAAGGGGAATGGGGAGAAAGAGAAATGGAGGAATATTGACAGAGGGGGAGTAATAGAGGAGGGAAGATTGACAGAGAAAGGGGGGAGATTGATGGAGAAGGAGTGGGGAGGAGAAAGAGGGGGAAGATTGTTAGAGAAGGGGGAAGAGGGAGGGAAGGAAAGGAAAGGAAAGGCAGAGGGATGTGATGCACCCTCTTTGCAAGTATGTTGTGGGTCCCCATTGTACATTCCAGTAGACAAGTTGGCCAAATCTGAGGATACTTTAATCAAGTGATTGGAGCTGTGAACAAACAAGGCAGATCTTTCTACAAACCTGAAAACACCCAGTTTGCAGAAAAATCTGAAATCTAAAAAATAAAAAAATACACTGGCGGTTTAAAACACTAGAATGATAAAAGGAACATTTCTAGCTTTAAGAAACAGATTCCTTCAGTGGCTGTTGCTAGGCATATGTGCATAGGACAGCAGAGGCATTAAACAGCTATTTTGCTTGAAAATATTAGATATAAAATATTTTAAAAGTAGAAATCCTTCAATCTTGTTCTTGGGGAAGGACCCTCCCAGAACAAATTTTGGGAGGCATTTTGGACTGCCACAAGAGGGAAGGGAAAATCATGTTCCATTAGCGAACATCCTTAGTCTGGATCCAACCCTAGTATGGTTACCAGCTCCAGGTTGGGAAATACATTTGGGGTTGGAATCTTGGGAGAGAGGGAACTGGGGAAGGGTGGCACCTCAGCCATATATAATGACATAGAGTCTCCCCTCCATTTCCCCCCAAGAGAACTCATGGTAATCTAGAGATCAATTGTAATTCTGGGAGATCCCCAAGGCTCACAATTCTAAATCCTATGGCTGGGAAACCTCCCCCTCCCCCAATTGAGACATTACAGAGCTGATGCTAGGCAGGGAATACCATATCTTTTTTCCATTGTCTATTACATTTTTATCCTGTCACTCCAAGGAATTCAGTACTACACTGGAAGAACCAATACTCTGAGTTATACAGATAAGACTATTTTGCATGTTCTCATATATCATTAGAAAAGATTTGAAACATTTTGGCTTATAAGGTTATGGCTTTCTGTATGTATGAATAAAACACAGACCTTGGCTATCTGACTGCTGTTACATGTGAATAATTACCATAGTAAACAGTAAATACATCAACTGAAAACAGGTAAATTTTTTATGCTCTAGCTCCACTTACATTGGAATGGCTTTCTTCTGAGGGCTTGATGATGCTATTCACAAACTTATTCACGTGTTCAAAGTGTTTTGTCATTTCTGTTGCCAAAACCATGTCAATAATTGCCTGACGAAGAGTCCGATAATGATTTCTGGAAAATACAACAGCAAACCATACTTTCGTAGGATATCTATTCACAGAACTGAATCTCTTTCTGGATCTCTCATCACTACTGTACACAAAAGTATTAGAGTTCTTTGTGGGGGGAGGGCTGGCCTCAGCATGACTGTACAGAGCCTATTTGAATAATAGTTAGCAAGTGTGCAATTCTCCTAGATAGCTTAGTATGTTATCTCTACCTTGTCTAGAATGGAGTTCCTTATAATAAATTATTCATATTAGTTTACTAAAGATAAAGAAAGGCTCTATGTGAACTTTGTTTGCAATTCTGCTGTGTTAAACATGTACTCTGCAACAATAACCACCTTTGAATGCTGACAATCGCAGATGCATTTTATGATTGCCTGACAATAGTTATGTTTTTCCTCACTTTTTCTCACCAATGAATGCTAAGCAACCACAATTAGACAACTGGCTACATTCAGTGATGTATCTTCGAGACTTTGCACAGTTCTGAATTTACAAGACACTCACAAAATTGCAGTTATTTACCACTTGCATTTTATAAAATTGTGTCAGATTTCACATACAACACAGACACTCTTTAGAAGCTCAAAACAAGGAAGAAGGATGACGATGCTAACCTGTTGAGATTTTTGAAAATGTTGCACTTGCTGTCTTTTGCTGTGAGCTGGAATGCTAGAGCTGTGTGGTGGCTTTCCAATACTGCAGTGTCATTGTAGAGAACAGCTAGTTCACTGCTTGCATTGCACAGGAAAGAGTTGGTCCGCCCTGGATGATCCACATCATGAACTGTTGCAGCAATTAATGCAGCTACTATGTCTAAATGATCTAGGCTCCCCTAGAAGAAAGAGTGAGTCTCATTCATCAATACTTATCAAAACATCTTTGGGAAATTAGTAGTTATGCATTTAAGAACCAAGGAATCTCTGCAATGATTCTCTCTCAGCAACCTCACAGGTTTGCTTTGAGGATAACATTTATGTATTTAAAATATTTATATTTCACTTTTCCAAAAGGCCCAAGGTGACTTCCAAAATACAAACAGAAACATAATTAAACACATGAATTAAAATATGTCAAGTTTTTCAGAGGAGAGGATCATGCTGCCCTGAGTGCCTTGGAGATGGATCAGACAAAAATCAAATTAATAAGATTTTTTAAAAAAAATTTATCCGCATGAGGTGACATTTCCCCGTAAATTGCCCATTGTTGGTTATTCCATAAAATGTACCCTATCTGAAGAAATTCTCTCTATGGGAAATGAAAAGTTATTTTTCAATGGCTACATTTCTCATCGTTACATATTGGTTGTATTATCTAAAGATGCAAATTTTAGAACAATGAATAACCACAGAAGAATTACCATGAGGTGACATTTCTTTATAAAACTGGTTGTTTATAAATTATTTTGTGGAGGGTTTAAAATATATTTTTTAAAAACAACAGGATTCCTTTATTTAACTTTCTGTGCCAGTTTGATAAATACTATGTGAAATGTGCTCTGCCTTTTCAGATCAATTCACTGTTACTGTTGTAACTCATAGCTGCTTTGCTACAGGATGTCACTATTCAGACTAAGGGAACATTCAAATTGAGGGTTTTGCCATTTCCTCCCTTTCTGGCAGACCTCTTATGCTCCCTCAAGCTATTTCTGGGGTCACCCTCTACCCAGAATCAGCATTTCAGGGTCATTTTGGGCTGCAGTGTGAGGGGAATATTTACAGTGACTTCCAAATCTGTGTCTGATCACCAGCCCACTAAGCTTCTTTTTTTTAAATAATTTTTATTGTATCCCAATATTGTTATTACATTAGTTTAGTTCCAAAATTTTTGATACTTCTTTTCCCCTATGTTATCCCTCCCCCCCCTAAGGTGGCCAACATCATGTTATTCAAATTACATTTTCAACCAGGAGCACATTCTTTCCAACTTTTCCAATATACCCCTGTTGGCTTCCCCTTAATACACCCATTTAAAGTATACCGACCATTTCTTTTTTATCTCCTTCATTTTTGCAGTCCATATCTTATCTTGCTTTAAACATTCCAATATATCTGATTGTATATATTCATATAAATATTCATTCCATTTTTCTAAAGTCCATTTTGAGTTCTCCTTCCAACCATATGCAACCACTGCATGTGCTGCTAATAACATTACTTTGAAAATATCCTGATTTTGTTTCTCAATTCTATGATTTCCCAATACACCCATAAATAATAAATCTACATCTATATCCAGGTTGACTTTACACAGCGCTGCTATTTTAACCCGTATCTTTCCCCAGAAATCTGTCACCTTTGGGCATTCCCACCGTAAGTGAGAGTACCACCCTTCTTTTGCGTTACAGTGCCAGCAATTAGGTTTCATCCCTTTTATCATATATGCCAGTTGGTCAGGGGTTCTGTACCACTTCCAGATTACCTTTCTTTCGAGTTCTCTATACTTTTCTAGCTTAATTTTCTTCAAGTTCACCATTAACTTATTGACATCTTCAATAGTAATTTGTTTTTCTTTGTTCCATTTGTTTTTTAAGCTTCTAAACATAAATTCCTTATCTTTCACCAATTCTAAATAAATCTTCCCTGCCAACCCTTTTTTTATTTCTTTCACATATAGTATTTGTTCCATATGTCTTCCCTTTTAATAGCTTCTTTATACTTATCCTGTTTGATTAAAGAATATAATCCCATTGAATTTAACCAGTATCTGTTTCCTAGTTTTTGATTCAACTCCTGAGGTGTTAATGGATTCCCTTGGCTATTATATATATCCTTCACTCTTAATATTCCTTCCTCCTGCAGGTCTTCCCAGAATTTTGGATTCACCTCCTTCTCCCATATATACCTAAGTGGAGTCCATTTCGAAGTCTGTGGCATCAATACCTTTTCCCACCTCTTCCAAACAAGCAAGGCTGTTTTCCTTGGTCCCTCTGCTTGTCTTATTTCTTTTCGTAAATCTCTAGTATAAATTCCATAACTTCCTGCTCCCTTATTTATCGCAGATTCAAATCTTACCCACTTGTCCTCTTTCCTCCCTTCTAACTCCACCAATATTTTTAGCTGAAATGCATCATAGTAAGCTTGTATACATGGTAACCCCCATCCTAGGTAATCTTGGGGCATATATACTAGGGTTTTTTTAAATCATTCTTGCTTTTTTCCATCCAAACACCCAGTTTTTAATATGTTCATCCTATTTCCTCATAACTGCCTGATCTAGTTCTATTGGTAGTACCTGAAGTAAATATAGCATCTTTGAAAGCATAAACATCTTTACTGCTCTAATTTTCCCTAGAATACTCAAATTCTTATCCTTCAATTTCTTTATTATCGTTGACCAAACCTTATTATAATTAATTTTTTGCAGCCTCTCTGTATTTCTATCGAGATATACTCCTAAATATTTAATTTTCCTAACTCCTGATTTCATCCCCGTTAACTCTAGTATCGCTCTTTTAGTTTCTCTATCTACATTAATAAACATTATTTCAGATTTCTTAATATTTATTCCAAGCCCCGAGTTTAACTTAAAATCTTCTAAAATAACTAATAGTTCTTTTATTGCCTGTAATAGGTTACTTAGTGTCAACAGGATATCATCCGCAAAGAGATTCAATTTAAGTTCTTCCTTGCCTATTTGAAATCCCTGAATTCTACCACTATTTCGTATCCTATCTGCTAGGGGTTCCATTGCTAATGCAAATAACCTAGGGGACAATGGACACCCTTGGTTTACTCCTCTCTCAATTAACATTTCTCTGGAGCCCACTAAGCTTCCATAACTTGTTGCAAATTGTGAACTACCATTTGGGAATAACCAAAAAAGCTATTACTATCCATGTTCTCATTTTATGAGTCTACGGATTACATTTTGGTGTGTCAGCCGGAAGAGACACTGGGCCAGTTCATAAAGACCACACAATGAACTAGCACTTCCTGGATTTTATCACCTCAGGGCCACAGGTAGTGGTCTGCATGTTTGAAGACTACTCCATATTAAAAAACACAACAATACTCTCTACACAAATAATAACAGTATGTCAGGAAGAAGTATTCAACCTAACCTACTTTCTCATGGGCCATTTTTCAAATAACAGAATTGTTTTTGGGGCACAGTTTTCAAACACATAGTCTCGCCTGCTGCAGCCTGAAGGGATAAAATCTGGGAAATTTTGCCACATTATTATACCACATTATGGTATAAATTGTTCCAGTCCTGTCCTGAGATAGATTATCATGTATGCAAACATTGCTCCATTTCTTCCTTGGAAGCTTCATCACAAGGAGGAGTGACATTCTCGAGTTTTTCTTCCAATGGGGAAATTCTCTTATATTTTCCCTAATGTAATCTGCTTCTGTATTTCTATGATTAAAACCAGTCCAGCTTGTCTTCCTTTCTGGTCTCCTTAGAAATACTCAAAACTTGAAGAAGGGTTAGTAATACACCAGAAATTGTACCTTAACTCTGTCTTCCCCCAGAAAGAATGCAGTAGCATGTAAGACATCAGCTGCATGGGTGGAGTTATGGTAGGAATTGGAGGAATGATAGTTGGCTTCAATCACCTGGAACCAGGCTCGTAGTGTGGCTTCTGAACAATTTAAAGACTCACAGACACCAAAGCGGGCAAAAGTTTTCATCCCTAGATAAACCAGTGGCCTGAAACACAGCAAGAAAACAGTAAACCAGGTGAGGATAGCCAGCATCTATCAATCTATCCACGCTGTTGTCTTTGGCTGCATTCTCATGCCATGACAAACAGGTTTGTCCATTATGGGAATGAGCACCATTTGTTGAGGTGCTTGTATATTTCCTTCACTCCTCCCCCAACAGGTGAAGACTTCACTCAGACTCCAATTCACTGTAACATCCAAACGGAGGAACCTGGGCGTTTTGGAGATTCCTTCCATGTCATGCACCTGTCTGCATTTTCTAAAATGAGATTAAACTGAGGTTTAGAATGCCAGTTTGTGGAGAAGAAACATACTCTAATTCGCCCACATGACTATAGTTGGATGTTATGGGGAATCATGGGCTTCCCAAAGTGTTCTGTGCATGAAGAGGGAAAGGGTCGAAAAAGGGAGAAAACAGCAAGGGAAGCATGTGAGCAAAGCAAAAAGATGTGTATGTGCCCATCATGAAGACACCTCTGTTTGTCATGACATCTGAATGCAGGAATGTTTTTGACAGTGACATCCTGTAGCAAAGGACATTTGAAGGAAGCCTTAGGTTATTAAAAAATAATGCCATCACTTTATTATAAGCAACTATGCAGATCAGTGCCCTGAAAAGCCTACAAGCTAAATTTTTATAATTAGAAAAAGAAATGGCTGGGAAAAGCAGGATCAATAAGGCTAAAAGGGAAGAATAACAGCAAATGTAGATACATACTCTTGGACTGGGTTTCAGTGTTGAGGGACACATGCCAAAGTATTTATGAAAGTGGTGGGTTTCGTGGAGGACTTTGAGGAAAGCGAGGTAGGTGACATTATGTAGGTGTACTTAGAGGGAATTCTGGGTATGCGGATAACAAGAGAGAGAGAGTGGATCCATTGTACCCAACTCATGTAAAACCAGTTGGTAGCAAAATATATATGGAATTAAAAAGAAAAAATATTCCTGGCAGCTTCAGAAATTACACCCATTTCAAGAAAGTGGAAGCACAAATTATTCATGCTTCCTACATCAGCATTCATCACTGTGGCAGGAACAGATCAACACATCGAAGCAAATTATTCACAGGCTTCTTTCATGTCAGGACCACTTCAATGATTGCCCTCCCCTTCTATTTCTTTCTATCTATACAGACAGAAAAGTCTTACTTTTTATGTGTGACAGCTTCCAATTCAAAAATATTGAAGTCCCAGCTCTCTTCATTTTCTAGTAGGCGTGCAATACAGGGTGGAACATCATTGATGGTAACGGGCACTGAGAGGTGACCATGGCTCTGGTTCATATCTGCCCAAATGACAAACAAACTAATTATGGCTATTTAGAGTTATTGTGATATTCAAAGAATACTTAGTAAAAATTAAGACTTAGAGCCAAACAAGATACAACCATGTCAGTTTTCTGTTTAAAAATGGAACCACTCCAATCATTTGTAAAGAGGAGGGAGGATGCAGAGGGGTCTTTAGTGATTCTGAGGCCCTGGACAAAAGTCCAGGATGGGGCTCCAGAATCACTGCCACCTCCGTCTGGCCTGCCAGGGCCAAGCAAGGGGTGGTCCTTATCCTGTGTGGAGTGGGTGGGAGCCATTGCTGCCCCTGAAAGCTAGTCACCTGAGCCCCAGATGTGGTGGCAGGAGCCTGTTCTTATTCTTCTTTTCCCTCTTCCTTGGGGGTTGAGGCTGTGGACAGCTGCCCCTCAAGTGCAGGGGTTGGGGCAGCTGTCCCTGTTGCCTATTGGCTAAGACTCCCCCTGGATGGGGGGTCCACATGCAAATAAGTTATATAGGAGAGAAGTATAGTGTGCAACTTAATGCTCTATATATATTGCCCACAGGCTGGAGCCAGCCCCTGCAAGCATCCAATCAGGCCCGAGAGCAACTGAGTCTGTGCTGCTTCCTGTTTCTAACATCACAGCTCCCTTCCCCTAGTCTCTCCTATTTGTTGCTTCAGAGGAGAGAAAGAAAGCCTTCCCTCGAATGGCTGAGGGCTCCTTCTCTCCCTCCTCTGGGGAGGGAGGGGGAGGGAATGACATAAAGAGCCAGAGAGAGGGGGAGAAATGGAACCTCGTGGGACTTTTAAGAAGACCAGGAATGTTTTATGGCAGGTATAAGCTTTTGTGTGCAAGCACACTTTTTCTTCTTTAGAGACAAAGAGGAAATGAAAGAGCCAAAGGGAGCATGCCAGAGAGAGGGGCGGGGGACATCACAGCTTGCATTCCTTATTAGTGAAAGGGAGCAAGAGCACAGCAGCACTTTAATGTCTAACAAAATTTGTGGCAGGGCATGAGCTTTCATGAATCACTGCTCAGTTCTTCAGATACGACTGGAATGTGAGTCCATCTGTCCTTATATCTTGGAGAGTGAAGTGATTTCAGATGACAAATGAAATAGCAGGCATTGGTAATGAGAGAAGAAACCTAGGTCTCAATTCAGTCCAGGAGTTTTCATTGTCTTGAGATTCATTATCAGTTGCAATTCAGCAGTCTATGTTTCTAATTTCCCTTTGAAATTCCTTTGTAAGAGAACTGCTACTCTTATGTTGGCAACTGCATGTCCTGGAAGGTTAAAATGTTCCCCCACTGGTTTTTGAATGTTGTGGTTTCTAATAGTAGTAGAAAGAGTCCAGTAGCACCTTTAAAGACTAACAAAATTGTGGTAGGGTATGTGCTTTTGTGAGTCACTGCTCACTTCTTCAGACTGAATCCCCCTGTACCAAATTAAGACCTAGGTTTCCTGTCTCATTAAATACTGATATCTCCACACCTCTGTATATCACACCAGTGCTGATATTTCCACCAGTCTGCATATCACACTAATCCAATCATGCCTGCTATTGCCATTTGGCATCTGAAATCATCTTTATAAAGTTTATATCTCCAGTACCTTGTGTTATATTTTATGGCACACATGGCCTGGCCCAACAAAGTGACATTTATGTCAGATCTGGCCCTCGTAACAAATGAATTTGACACCTCTGCTCTATACCTTCTCTTCTCAAGCACTTTTCTCCCTAGACTGGCTATGATATAAACAATGTCCTCAGCTGAAAGAAAAGCACTTGGAAACAGGGGCTTCAGGGAGATAAACTGTATGCAGTTGGAAGGTCCTAGTCTCGTCATCTGAGTCCCCATTTTGCTTTTAAACTGGGCTTCACTCCATGTGCATTTAAGCATACAGAACTGCTGCTATCACATCTAGCTCAGCTCTTAAAGTCTCAATGTTTAGAGTTAAACATTTAAATTTAAGCTTTTTATACAAATATGAAAATGCATAGCCAGTCATATTTTCCAAAGCTACTAATGCCTTTGATTCTGATCCAGCTCTATCTGTAGGCAACTGGTCACGAGTAACAACTGATGGCCCTAAATTCTACCCAATCCATAGTACAAAATGCAGCCAGCCATTCCAATGAGTTCCAGGTCAGCATCTGTAATAAGGAACTTTGGGGTTGGTCAGAGAAGGGTAAAGAATAATCTCAAATGTATAATCTCAAATTATTGCATGTATAATAATCTCAAATCATTGCATAATTTGATATGCAAATTCAACAGTCTTTTAAAAACAATATAGCATATGAATATGTGTGGTTCTTTGTACCAGTGGTTTCAGTGATGACTAACTGATCTGCAGTGTTAACAAAAATGAAAGATGTATATATAAAGATGGGAATGTTGACATGACAGTGTTAAGTGAGGTTATCTGGGTTGTTACCAACTGTGGATGACACTCTGCTCTATCTTGCACTTCCAGCCGAGCCTGGGGAGGTTGTAAAAACCCTGAACTGGTTCCTGGACGCAGTTTTGGAGTGGGTGCTGGCTAACAAACTAAAGCTTAATCTGAACAAAATGGAAGTGGTTACAGGTAAGTGAAAGATCTGACTCTGGATGGGGTTGCACTTACCTTGAAGGAACGGGTCCATAGTTTGAAGGTACTCTTGGACCCAAGACTACTGCTGGATAAGCACATGGCAGCTGTGGCCAGGAGCTTTGACTGGTTACCCAGCTGCGGTGTTTCCTAGGCCACTGGGATGCATGCCCTGGTTAGATCTGATGACTGCAATGCACTTTACATCAAGCTGCCCTTGAAAAGTGCTTGAAAAATTCAATTGGTGCAGAATGCTGCAGCCAGGATGTTGACTAAAGTGGGACATAGGGACCATATCACTCCAGTATTGGCCTGTCTACATTGGCTCTCAATCTGTTTCTGGGCACAATTCAAAGCCCTGTATGGTTTGGGATCAAAATGCCTGAAGGACTGACTACTTTTTTATGAATTCCCCTTCTTTGAACTTCCTTATAAACTTACTTCCTTATGATCTTAACTTCTTCTTTGGTAGCCCTGCTGCAGGTCCCCTGCCTTCTGAGATTAGGCCAGGTGGCACCCTGGGTGAGAGCCTTCTTGGTTGGGGCACAAAACTTTGGAACTCTCCTCATGGAGACCTGCCTGTCCCCTTCTGTGGTCATCTTCTGCCAGTGAGTGATGCCTTCTTTGTTTCATCTGGCATTTCCTCAGTGAAACCACCTTCCTGCCGTATGCTTTGTCGTTTTAATGTTTTCGAGGGTATATTTTAACCCTGACCTGGATGGCCCAGGCTAGTGCAATCTCATTAGATCTCAGAAGCTAAGCAGGGTTGGCCCTGGTTAGTATTTGGATGGGAGACCACCAACAAAGCCCAGTATTGCATTGCAGAGGCCAGCAATGGCAAGCCACCTCTGTTAGTTTCTTGCCTTGAGAACCCTATGGGGTCACCATAAGTCAGCTGTGACTTGATAGCTCTTTCCACCTCCACCACGTTATTTTAGCATGGTTTTAATGGTTTTTAAGATGTGTAGTATAGCTGTCTTGGTGGCCCAGATGACTGCAGAAAGGTGGGGTATAAATTTTGTAAATAAAATAAACTTACTTTTAGAAAATACATACTCATTTCCTGACAACCTTCTCAAGCCATCCTATAATGAAGCAAAAAGATATTGTCTGTGGTAGGTTTTCTATGGCAAAGAAAAAGGTAGGAAAATGCACTCTCAAAAGCTGAAACAGAAAAGGGCTGGGACATCCAAAAATGCATATAAAAATCCAGAGGGTCACTAAATTTATCAACTATGCAACTTAAATAATGTGCTCCAAAATATCATAAAACCATATATAGTTTTCTTATATACATACTCTATTTCTCGGGAAAAGGCTGACTATTGATTCTATAAATAAAATCAAATTCTGTCAAGAATTAGGATTGCCAGCCCCCCCTCCCCCGGCCAGTAGCAGGGGATGGGGAGGTAGGGTTACCAGATCCAGGCTGGGAAACTCCTAGAAATTTGGGGGCAGAGGTTGGGGAGGACAGGGACCTCAGTGGGCTACAATGCCACAGAGTCCACCCCCAAAGCATCCATTTTGTCCAGGGGACCTGATCTCTGATTTCTAGGGGATCTCCAGGTCCCACCTGGATGCTGGCATCCCTATTGAGAATACAGTGCAATTTTACAGATGTCCAGTATCTAATCACTACTGTACAAAAATAAAGTAAAACTTCTCTGCTGTATGATGTTCAGTAAGCTCTTCTCTGTATTCTTCTCTGGGTGTACTTCATTTCACTGTTTTATTGTGCATCCTAAAAAGTACAGAAAGCTTTATATAGCTGTCATGTACCAGGCCTTGAGGACTTGAAGCTGGCACTAGGATTCAATTTCTAGAGTTAACTAGAAGTGATACTGAATTTTTCAGCAAAAGCGAGGGAGTAGTTACCAAGTCTTCTACTGCATTTTCCAGATTCGATGGAACTCAAAGTGACTGAGGAATTAGTGGAAGGAACACTTTGTCCTCTTTCATGGCTGCGTACTGAGATAATACCTTAGTCTATACTGTTTCTGAGCATATTCTTATGGTATGTATGCACAGAAATCCACTATGGCAATCCAGGGCAAACCTTTCAGACATGAGCTTAAGATACTCTCTCTAGTGTGCACTGTGTGTTCCTTATGGTGCTTATAATGATCATCATCATGTCGGTGGAGGTTCAAGTTTTACAGTTCTTGCCTATGTATAGGCTATTCCCTCACAATTTTTCTGCTTACCTCCATTCCACTGTACCCAGGAATGCTGTAAATAAAGAAACTGAACTAAAATGCAATTAAGAGATGTAGGCTTTGAGCAGAACCTCAGGGCGATTGTTACCAGTTTTCCTTTATGTAGGAAAAGTCATATGAAGACTGTGTATATCATAATTTATGAAAACTCACACTACTGTCTGTTTTCTTGTTAAAATCCTGGGGTATGAAATGTAATCCTGGGACATGAAATTTGAACAGGGAACCTCTCTTGCAGCAGCCTTACTGAAATGGCTGGGAGCCAGGCATGGACTGGGAAGTTAAAATGTCTGTAGAGCAAGCCAGGTGTAGTGGCCCCTATGGTGCTAAGAAAAGCTACTAGGACTTGGCTCTGTTTGCTCCAGGTTGCTAGTAGCCCTGCAGTGCAAAGGCCCACCAGGAATATTTCTTTAAGTTAATTGGCTAGTGTGCCCCTGTCTGGAGCTATGCTCTAAATGTGACACTTGAGTTAACCACCTTGTTTTGCTTTGTAGTAGACACTGATCTGAAACAACAGAGCTTCCCTCTTTGGGGGGGGGGAGGGGGTCATTGTAGTTAAGAACATAAGAGACGCCAATGTTGGATCAGGCCAAAGGCCCATCCAGTCCAACACTCTGTGTCACACAGTGGCCAGAAATACCAGTGCCATCAGGAGGTCCAGCAGTGGGGCCAGGACATTAGAAGCCCTCCCACTGTTGACCCCCCCAAGCACCAAGAAGACAGAGCATCACTTGCCCCAGAGCCCCTAGCTATACCTTGTGGCTAATAGCCACTGATGGACCTCTGCTCCATATGCTTATCTAATTCCCTTTTGAAGCCATCCATGCTTGTAGCACCCACCACTTCCTGTGGCAGTGAATTCCAAGTGTTAATCACTCTTTGGGTGAAGAAGTACTTCCTTTTATCCGTTCTAACCCGAACGCTCTGCAGTTTCATGGAGTGCCCACGAGTTCTTGTATTGTGAGAAAGGGAGAAAAGTACCTCTTTCTTTACCTGCTCTTTCCCATGCATAATCTTATAAACCTCGATCATGTCACCCCTCAGTCGTCTTTTCTCCAAGCTAAAGAGCCCTAAGCGCTTTAACCTTTCCTCATAGGGAAAGTGTTCCAACCCTTTTATCATTCGAGTTGCCCTTTTCTGCACTTTTTCCAAAGCTATAATATCCTTTTTAAGGTGTGGTGCCCAGAACTGCACACAGTATTCCAAATGAGGTCTCACCATTGATTTATATAGGGGCATTATTATATTGGCTGATCTGTTTTCAATACCCTTCCTAATAATCCCCAGCATAGCATTGGCCTTCTTTATTGCAGTCACACACTGTCTCGACATTTTCAGTGAGTTATCCACTACAACTCCAAGATCTCTCTCTTGCTCAGTCTCTGCCAGTTCAGACCCCATCAATGTGTATTTATATTTAGGATTTTTGGCTCCAATGTGCATCACCTTGCACTTGGCCACATTGAACCCCATTTGCCATGTTGACGCCCACTCGCCCATCCTTGACAGATCCCCTTGGAGTGCCTCACAATCCTCACTGGTTTTCACCACCCTGAACAACTTTGTATCATCCGCAAATTTAGCCACTTCACTGCTTACTCCCATCTCCAAATCATTAATGAACAAGTTAAAAAGCAGTGGACCAAGTACTGATCCCTGCGGTACCCCACTGCTTACCACCCTCCACTGAGAAAATTGCCCACCTACACTCACTCTCTGTTTTCTATGAACTAGCCAGTTTTTGATCCATAAAAGGACTTGTCCTTCTATCCCATGATTTTTGAGCTTACTTAGGAGCCTTTGATGAGGAACTTTATCAAAAGCTTTCTGGAAGTCAAGGTAAACAATATCTATTGGATCCCCCTTGTCCACATGTTTGTTCACCCCCTCAAAGAACATTAACAGGTTAGTGAGACAAGATCTTCCCTTACAGAAACCGTGCTGAGTCTGCCTCAATAGGTTTTGTTCATCTATGTGCCTACTAATTCTTTCCTTAATAATGGTTTCCACCGATTTACCCGGTATCGACGTCAGACTGACTGGCCTGTAATTTCCCGGATCTCCTCTGGAACCCTTTTAAAAGATGGGAGTGACATTAGCTACCTTCCAATCCTCAGGAATGGAGGCAGATTTTAAGGAAAGATTACATATCTTTGTCAGGAGATCCACAAGTTCACATTTGAGTTCTTTCAGAACTCTCGGATGTATGCCATCTGGGCCTGGTGATTTTTCAGTTTTTAAGTTGTCTATCAGTTTTAGGACCTCCTCTCTCGTCACCTCAATCTGACTCAGGTCTTTCAACACCCCTCCTGAAATCAGTGGTTCTGGAGTGGGCAAGCACTTCTCATCTTCCACAGTGAAGACGGAGGCAAAAAATGCATTTAGCTTCTCAGCCATTTCCCTATCATCCTTCAATACTCCTTTTACCCCTTGGTCGTCCAAGGGCCCCACTGCCTCCCTGGCTGGTTTCCTGTTTCTAATGTATTTGAAGAAAGTTGTTGGTTCTCAGTCAGAAGAATGTGCACTTTCAACAAACAGTTCTATATTGTTTAGTGAAGTTGCTTGCTTGAATATTGCCTTCTTACTCACAGTCATCAGACCTCCAACAAGATCACTAGTGTGAGGATCTTCATCTTTGGTACCTAATTGAGGAGAGTAAAGTTCTGTTGTCCGTAAGATTTCCAAAACTCTATCTAACGCCTCTGCAACAGTTACAGGACTGTTCTCTTGAGCTGAATTGATTATATTAATGACCTGTAGAGTTACAAAGAAGAGAATTGTATTGTATATAAAAATCCCATTGCTGATTTCAGACATTTGTTAAATATAAATAGACCCTAAAAGGACTGCCAATTGCTTAACCAATTAATCACCTTAGTTATTTATCGCGAACTGCCTAGGGCAGGATCTCTGGAGAGATGGCATAAGAATTTTCCAAACAAATGAACAAACAAGTTAATTACTATGAGCAGCTCTGAGTTCCCTTTGAAGAGGAAAACGGTGTATAAATTTTTTAACAGAAAATATTTAAAATATTTCTGTCCTTTCTGAGGAGACTGAAAATATGAGGTAATTTAAAATTTAACAAACACAATTACTCATTCTTAGAGAGAAAGGGCATCAATATTTTCTATTTCAATGAGAAGCAAAAAAAGTTGTAAAACATAATCTCAGCCCCATAAACTCAGCCCCATTGAGGATGAAAATATGCTTGAACTACGAAAGCTGGGCTTCATAGATCAACCATTCGCTATTGTAGGAAAGTATCAGTTGCCTGTTTCCTGCGAGTTTACACCCAAAGACATTTGAAAGATAAATACCACTGCCATCAGTCATACGTCTGGTATGCAACAAGTTCAGATTTCCCTAGTTTCAACTTGTTCACTACTTTTCTCCCTCTGTTGTTAGGAAAGTGACGAAAAACATATTGGATAAGTTCATATGTAGTAATAAACGGTGGGTTTGGTGCCATGGAATTCTGCATGTGCAACAATAATTGTGCAAGTGGAAATGCCAAAAATAAAGCTTGTAATCTACTCGCGTGAAATGTGAGCTATTGTATCACAACTTTCCTTTCCACATGTGCAAAACACAGCCAAGGTATTTTTTGATTCGGTCAGTACTGTATATTCTTTTCTACTGTGTGGACATTCTTTGGGAAGTCACAGCCCTCCATTTTATCATGGTCCCCAGAACTGTGACTTGTAAGCAGGTTGAAATGAGAATTTTTTTAAAAAATACTTTTCTATATTATGAAAATGCATCTTGCACAGTAATTGTGATAAAGTACTAATTTATATGGAATAAACAAACACATACGGTAGCAACAGCATATCACTATACAATAGTACAGTGATATGTATACACTCTGTCCAGCTTAAAGGTTGGCAGCAGGCTGATATACAAGATGGAACCATCGTCTGAAAAATGTATCGCTCTTTCTTAGATGCAAATATATATGAACTACAAATTCACAAGGTGGTCAAAGATAATCCTTTTTGACTGAAAAATTCAGGACTTCCTCTCCATCAGGCTGTCTGAAAAGTCTTCCTGTTCCCATTCTTATAGCAGATTTGTAGAAAATATTTGACTCCTACCTTTGTAATTGGAGCTTCTATCGTCATGGAGTGAATTCTTGCCACAGATGAATACCGACGATTCTGTAAGCTTGGGGCTGCCATTAAGTATAAATATTTGGGTTTTGAGAGCAAATAGAAGCTGTATTTTCACAAAATCCATCGTTTTCAATGAGTGTGACCTATACATTCAATCAAGTACTTGTTCGAAAGCCGATTTACCCCTCCCCCATGCATGCGCAGAAAGCACACAGGACCAGAGGCAACATTGCTACTCTGGAGGCCCCCAAACCACATGAAGAAGGGGGTGGGGAGAAGGCTACTACTTAACAGTGGGACCCCAAATATTCTTGTGCCCAAGTGGAGCAGCTGGTGTATGATTTTATCTCAGCCAGGGTCTTAAGTAACCAAGGAATTACAAATGGATTTACCACCAACAGGTGATCTGCAAAACATTTCCACTGATCATTTAATTACTTATTTTATCTGCTATAGCTCAGGCAGGTGGGAGCTGATTGTCATAAAAACCATAAAAGATAAATCAGATGCTACTCCCTTGGATTTTAGCAGTAAGGAAGATTGCTGCTTTTGCAAGATCTCTGGCTTTTTAATATCTGTATTTTCTTACCATCACTGCTTCGAGAAGTTATAGATTTGACATCAATGGATTCTTTCCTCCTGTTCTTGCATCTGAAGGAGTGAGATTCTATAAATATTACAGGAAACATTTTAAAAGCAGTCAGAATGGGTGTCACAGCCACACATACCCTTTGTTTAACAGTGTAAATTTTAATTCTCTTACTTTTACAGGTGAAGAATTTTACAGCAGAATATGTCATGATCTACCTACAGCGGCGGGGGGGGGGGAGAGACTACAAGAAATAGAACAGAAACAAACTTCTTTTAGCTCTGAGTCTTAAAGATAGTCTATGCTGCTGCCTTACCACATACTAATCTTAGGCTGTGATCACACACACTAAATAATCCACCTTCAATCCACTTTCCAACTGGATTTTTACTGTGTGAACTGGCAAACTCCAATTTCAATGTGCATTGAAAGTCGATTGAAAGTGGATTATTTACTGTGTGTGATCACGACCTTAATTTGGTATGAAAGTAATGTGCAGGAATTGCAGGAATAACTTGATTCTCCTTTGCAGCTGGTCATTATACAAATTAAAGTTGTCAGGCTTCAGGATTCTTATATCTATATAACTACTGTAATCACCATGATCAATTGAACTCACTGATCTCATAGGGGTAGGACACTTTTGTGCTTCTCAGTCACATCTGAGATCAGCTGCAAGTGAAATTAAAATAGTGGTTCCAAATACCACTTAATATATTTATTTATTAAATTCAGTTTCTAGACTGCCCTCCCCTGTGGAACAGGGTTTAGAAAAAGAAGAAGAGATTGGATTTATACCCCGCCCTTCACTTGGAGTCTCAGAGCGGCTTACAAACTCCTTTCCCTTCCCCTCCCCACAACAGACACCCTGTGAGGTGGGTGGGGCTGAGAGAACTCTGACACAAACTGCTCTTTTTCAAGGACAGCTGTGCCAGAGCTTGTGACTGACCCAAGGTCACATCAGCAGGTGCAAGTGGAGAAGTGGGGAATCAAACCCGGTTCTCCCAGATTAGAGTCAGCGCACTTAACCACTACACCAAACTGGTTTAGGTACATCAATAAAACCAACAATCATACATGAAATTCATAGTAAAATCAATAAAAATACAATAATTAATCTAATTAAATGGTGCTAAAACTTCCAGTTGCGCCACTGCCTCACAGGGAGGAGGCAAGAGACAGGAGTGCAAGTCAGATGGAAACCGTCATTGTCTGTCCTGGCAGCTAGATATCTCTCAGGCCGAGACCACCAGTAGGTTTTTATCTTATCTTCTGAGTGCAATGCTCTTCAGGGGGTATACCAGGAGAGGCAGTCCTGAAGATACATGGGTCCCAGATCGTTAAAGGCCTTAAAGGTTAGCCTTAAAACCTTGAACTTGATCCGGTACCCCACTCCGAGCCAGTGTGGCTCATGAAGCACAGGTTGAATATGTGCTGTTTATGGGGTCCCCGTAACAACCTACGCTGCTGCATTCTGGACCAGTTGGAGTTTCTGGGTCAGTCTCAAGGGTACCCCTATGTACAGCAAGTTACAGCAGTCTAATCTGGAGGTGATCGTTGCATGGATTACTGTGGCTAGGTCAGGACAGGACAGGTAGGAAGCCAGTTGCCTGACCTGGTGCAGCCGGGAAAATGCCAGTCGGGCAACATTTGTGATTTAGGCCTCCATTGATAGCGAGGCATCCAAGATCACACACAGGCTTTTGACATTTGGTGCCGGTATCAGGGGCACACTGTCAAGAGCCGGGAGTTGGTGCCCCAAACCTGCCCCACCCAGCCACAGAACCTCCATCTTAGTAAGATTCAGTCTCAGCCGGCTCTTTTTCAACCATCCCACCACGGCCTCTAGCCCCTCGGCCAAATTTACTGGGGCAGCAACTGGCCAGCCACCCATCAACAGATATAGCTGGGTGTCATCAGTGTACTGGTGACATCCCAGTGCGAAACTCCGCACAATTTGGGTGAGGGGGTGCATATAGATGTTAAACAACACTGGAGAGAGGACTGACCCCTGAGAAACCCCACATACTAGGGGGTGCCTAGTTGACACCCTCTCTCTCAGAGCCACCCTCTGTCCCTGACCTTGGAGGAGTGAGGTGAACCACTTCAGAACTACCCCAGTGTATAGTGTAATAATTCTATCCCTATGGGCAGAATCTTACTATATACTTACCTGAAAGTAAATATCATTCATGAAACATTCTGTTTTTCTCTGCAATGTCCCTTTACATTACATCCCTTTGTTTTTACTGTCACTTTAATTTCTCTCCTTACTTTGTTACCCTGTTCTCTTACACTCCCTGACATTTCTGTATTGATATTTAAGTATTGTTTCATGGAAGAGAGGGCTTTAGTTATCACTTTTCTCTTTGCAGCCAAAGTATTGCTCATTAATTTTTATTTTATTTTTCAGGATTACATTTTTGTTATTTTCCCCCCAAAACAATTTATTAGGATATAATTTTAAAAAGTTCAAACATATATCAAAACTTATACAATTATATATCCTCCCCTCCCCCCCCCCTTCTCGGCTTCCCACAGTGCTCCAACCTCCAACCCAATTCTTAAATTTTCTCCATACCTCCCTTTCTCCTTATTCACAACCACAGGTAACTTATCCTTCAACAGTTATTCTTATACATTTATCTATTTTCTACTATCCTTTAATTTTCAATAGTTCTCAAAGCAAAGTAAATTGTCCTTTACATCCCAGTACATTTTTTGTTATTTTTTTAATTCCTGTGATTGCAATTAGGATTAAAAATATATATATATCTGTAAGCAATCACTTTCACTGCAAAGGAAAAACAGTAATTAAATTGTGCTTATGACCAAAGATCAAGGACTCATAATTAAGGCTTACTTTAGGATTGCTGTGGTCAGCATGAACGAAAGTAAGTAACAAATGAAGCTGTCAAAAAGAAACAGCTAAGCAGGAAACGTAAAATCTCAATTCAACTATCTTCATGGGGTTTTTCATGATTTTTAAAAACCGCTTCTCTCTTCAAATATGCGCAAATGATATGAGTGCACAGGCAAGATTGGCTGTGTTTATTGAGGCTATCAAGAAACCCTTCTGCACGGTCAGCTTCACACTACAAGAAGAACATGTACACAGAGTTTTATAAAATTATGCATAGAGTGGAGAAAGTGGATACAGGGAGCTGTTTCTCTCTGTCCAATAATACTAGAACTTGGGGACACCCAATGAAGTTGATGTACAGGACAAACAAAAGGAAATACTTCTTTACTCAACAAATAATTGAATTATGGAATTCACTGCCTGTGGACATAGTGATGGCCACAAGCACAGCTGGCTTTAAAAGATGGTTCGATAGATTAATGGGCAATAGGTCCATCAACGGTTACTAGTCACGTAGAATGAAGGGAACCTCCACATTCAGTGCTAAAAGGCAACATGAGGGAAGGTCTTGGCATCTATGCCCTGTTTGTTGGTCCTCCAGAGCAACCAGTTGGCCACTATGGGAAACAGGATGTTGGACTACCTGGACCACCAGTCTAATCCAGCAGGGCTCTTCTTTATGTTCTAAGCAGTTTGGCATGCAGACTATTTCCAAGCAATAGGAACGTACTGTCACACAGAGGGGTTTCTTAGCTACCTTTATGGGGTTACCCTTCAGAACAAAAGCAGAAGTAGTTCTTCATTTTCTACTGAGGCCATATAAGGAAAAACCATTTTCTAACCTGAATGAAACTGGTCTCCTGAGCTCTTCCCATCGTGATGAATCTTGTAGCTCTGGTATTAAGGGAAACAAACATATACTCCTTTGACTCTGCTAAAATTGAACTGCATAGACACTCACGTATCTACAAACTGCCTACTATGTGTGTGTATATAAACTTCCTACGTCTCCATTTGCACATATAAACAATTTAACTATCTGCACAATCAAGAGACAGTTATTTTTCTATTCCTTTGAATTATGAGTTCTATGTAACTGTAATAGCTACATAACTTTCAGGTACTTCGGATATCCATCTTACAGTTTCAGCTACAAACAAAAGTGGCACTCTTGAGCTAGGTACCAAATCATGTTGCTTGATCAAATAAATGTGTATCTCACCTAAATAATTTTTCAAAATAACCTGACAATATTTGGATTTAGAATTTTTGAATATACATTGTTGATACAAAAGAAAATTGTTAATTAAACTGGCAGGTTATATGCTGCAAAATGAACATGGTACCTGTTTGTTGCTTTCATTGGTGCAACACAGCTTCTTGATAGATACAAAATGTCTGATTTTCCTAGCAATATAAAATAATCCATGGTTACTAATAAACATAATGAGAACAGAAATGGTGATTAGGTAGCAATTTGTAAAAAAACCTGACTTGATCGTTTTTCTTTTTCTTTTTAACTATGACATTACTGTGTTGGATCTAGTGACTTCCTTCCATTAAATGAGGACTCTTCCCTGAAGGAGAAAGGTCTTTCTGATCCTCACTTAACAGAAGGGAGTAATGAATCCAATCCAATATTATATAGTTCATCATCTTCTCAATAACATTCACATTTTTAGACGGGTTTCCTTACTCATAAACATTTCAAGAATCTGAGACCCCCCCTTCTAACCTTCAACTGATCAGAAAGCATAGTGGTTAGCTCACAAAGATTCCCCTTCTCCAAGGCTGAGAAGAAATCTTATTTTCATTCAAGGCGATAACTTGCCAGAATCTGCCCCTAAACTACCTTCTGAGGACATTCATTCTCTCCTCTTCTGGTGTACTCTGTGAGGTGTCTTGCAATAGTTAGTCCTGCCTGGGAAATTCCTGTGTGCATTTCTGCTCGTTTCACCTGAGTGTAGCTACAGAAATCTTCCTGTTCCCAGGTCAAGTTACATGCTTCCATCTCTTTGCAGGTCAAGTTACATGCTTCCATCTCTTTGCAGCTCTTCTCCAGCTTTTACATTTTGTATTAATGCAGCTCCAAATATTTAAGAAGTACTTCAGTTTCTTGCCTTGAAAAACTATCTCTGATATTACCGTATTCAGGACCTTAGTGCTGAATTCAGACTTTCACAAGTAACTTCGTTACTTAGTAAAAAAAAATCCCTTCATGGCCATCCAAGTATATTGTTGCCTCGACTGGACACATTCTCTTAAGCCAGATATAAAACCTAAGCCAGGGACTCCTAGGAGTAAGAGGCAGAAGGTTGTTTCCTTCCTTACAGTTAGGGTTTCCAACTGTGAAGGTGGACCCAAACTGGAAGGGGGACTCCATTCACATGTTTGTCTGTCTGGGTACACGTTCTTCCCAGTCACACAAAGTAACAATTGTATAAAAATTATGATGTGATTGAGATAGTGGAGTTGCATAGGCATAATGGAACTTCCTGACTCTTTAGTCAACATACAAGGAATTAGCAATGCTCCTTCTATTTCTCTTCAATTAGTGATTAAAATATGGAATCCACTGTAAGAGGATATAGTGATGGTCACAAGCATCGATGGGCTACAGGGGATTAGATAAATTTATGGAGGACAGGGTGAGCAGTAGCTACCAACCACAGTGATTAAAAGGAACCTCCACATTTAAAGGCAGCAAAACTCTGAATACCAGTGCCAGTAGGCAACATGAGTGGAAGACCTCAGCCTCTATGCCCTGTCAGCAACAGCAATGTTCCACTCATGTCTTCCAGAATAACTGGTTAACTACTGTGTGAGACAGGATGCTGGACCTGATGGACCACTGGTCTGACCCAGCAAGGCTCTTATGTTTTAAATCAACATTAATAACACAGTGAGTTTGTGTGTGTATTTAGTAACAGAGTGGTGTTTGTGTGTGTGTGTGTATTTAGAATGTGTTTGCACACACATTGAAAGTTGATTAGCTAAATAGATAAATAGATACATACACATATACTCAGAGTTTGTTTAACAGAGAACACAAAACACAATTTAGTTTTTAGTTAACATACTTACCCTCCTTGGCCAGTCACAGGAGTTATCTTCACATGCTGTTGAATACTGTCTCCTGATTTCCTCCGTGCATGATAAACTCCTTGCCATTCCTAAATAACAAAGTAAAAGCAATACACAAGACAGTTTGCAATCCTGTATTCAAAAACAAACAAAGCAAAGTGGATAGGATTTAAGATACTCCATCCTATTGGCTTAGTTAGGCCAAAGTACTAGGCAGTTCATGAGGCTTTTAAAGATTCCTAGCAATAATATATAATGGAACATGAAGAGCTTTACTGTATCATATTCTGCCATAAAGTTTCTAGCAAAAAGTTAAAATGGGTAAATTCATGCTATCTCAGGGATTCTTATCACACATATCACATCTGTGTTCAAGCTTATCACTTATCCATCCTTTCTTTTAGATAACATTTACTATAAGGAAGGTTATATGGTCTAGCCTTTAAAACAGGCCCTTTAAATGAAATCTGGTGTGAAAAAAAGGATATGGACAATATTAGATGAAAGGGCAATCACAATTTCCCATAATAATGTCATCATGAACCTTGACTGGCTCATTAAGTCTATACCAGGTATGTCCAACAGGTAGATCATGATCTACCAGTAGATCACGGACGGATCAGAGGTAGATCATCAGCCCCACTTGGTCTCCAGGTTTGCTGGACAGGTGTTTGGGTTTTTTTGATTTCCAAACTTGACAAGATGCAGTGAAGCTGTATACTCCTGTTTCGGTTCAACTTATTTGTGTGAATCTGCGTTGTGTGAAAATGACAAACAGTACACAGCATTCCAACATGACAGATGAACATCTCCAGGATTCCCTGAGACTGGCCCTCACGCAATATTCACCCAACTTCAAAAAGCTGGTGGATGAAATGCAGGCTCAGACGTCTCACTAATGAGCAAGAGCGAAGTTTTAAAGATTGCGCAAGATCAGCCTGGATCAATATTTGACCTACATTTAACACAAATAACTCTGAATAAAAGTTAAAGAAAGTTATTGAGACAGTTAAAGAAAATTATAATTCAATAAAAAATAAAAAATGTTTGCAGTTCTTTCTGGATCTTCATCTCTCTGTTTTGTTTTTGCTTATTTTGCTTACCAGTAAATGACAGAAGTTGCATTATAAATGGGGGGGGGGGGCCCGGCGGCGGCGCAGTGGAACCCAACTTTAGTGGGTTAAAATCTAATTTGAAACTAATTTGAAACTTTATTTTCATGGTGGTAGATCACCGGCACTTTTGGCCGGAAAAAAATAGATCACTACCTGTTCGAAGTTGGACGTGCCTGGTCTACACCATCACATTGTCAATGATAAAAGGGGTTAGAACCAGGAACAGTATGTCCCTCATTCTGGGAGTGGTCCCCTCATATCTGGTAGAACGAGGATATCTACCTGGCAGGTAAAATTCAGTTTCCAAATTCCATGCAAAAAAGCCAGGTTCTGTTGTAAGTCTCAGCCTTGCACATTTCAGAAGCACAACTATTCAAGTTCAGCTTACACAATGTATTGTATATGTTGCTTGGTCGTAATAAAAAGGTATTACATGGCATCTGTTTTGGATTTGACTATGGACCAATGTGGCTGTCTACTTTTTTTCCCTATAAGCACTGGCATTACAGACAAAATAATGGATAATGTCTTCCATCTTCTTGACAAAAGGTCTAAGATCTAGCCACTTGTATTTGCCACCACTTTGACAGAGCAATAGCTAAGATGAAGCCTTGTCCTTTATTTGTAATTTACCAAAAAGGAACTGAGGAGAAACTTTTTCAACTCGGAAACAAAAGACATCTCAATAATTGAAGGATGCAGATGGAATTTAGTCACCTACTTTCCCTCTTTTGATACATGTGTTGATTGTGTCCAGTAGGTCTGCACGGTTTTTGTCACTTTTTGGAAGTTCAGTAAGCTCCTTTCCAATTAGCTCTCCCTTTTGATAGCCCATCATTCGCTCAAAAGCTGGATTAACATACTGTAAAACAATAAATTAATGCCAACAAACAAGTAAAGCTTGCATCTTATAAGTGTGTTCAGAAAGCATGTGCTATTTTCAGTATCCAGTACGCATACTATGTGCACATTTTCCATACCTGTATTACATGATCATCACTAGTTATTTCTATAGCTTCATGACAGTGGTCCAGAGCTGTAAACACTGAATTACAAGCCCTGCAAGTAACAAATGATTATATACTGTTAATACTGGTAAATATACAGGATAGAGTTACATTAGTGCATGGATCATATACAGGGGGAAAATTGAAACACTGAACTTTTTTCACTTAAAAAGTCTTTCTGTTTAGAAGACACTGGTTTAATGCACACCCTTTAATGCCTGTATTTATTTATACATAAAATACTTTATGGTAACTGCACTTTAAATAGCTACAGCTGCATCCTTCTGGAAAACAAACAAACCAGTCTGGAAGACATGGGCCCAATGTATTCCGTCTAAAATATTTCCACAGATGTTCCTTTACTTAACTTGATCAAGCCTGTTTTTTATGTGAAGCTTTCAGAATAAACTAGAAACATTCTATATGTTTTAACTTCTACCAGGGGTCATTTCGTAGAAAAAGAGCTAGGGGAACTCATTAGCATAACTCATTAGCATTATTTATTTATTTATTTATTGATTTGATTTTTACCCCGCCCTCCCACCAAAGCGGCTCAGAGCGGCTTACAACAATAAAAGCAATAAAACAATACATCTAAAACAATATACAATACATTAAAATCACAATTTATCCACATTATACTATACATTATAATATACACAAGATGGCGACTATAAGTGCTGACATACTCAATCTAGGTTGTTGAATGCTTGGCGGAATAACTCCGTCTTCACCGCTCTCCGGAACTGACTAAGATCCTGGAGAGCGCGGATCTCCTGGGGGAGCTGATTCCATAATGTTGGTGCTGCCAGAGAGAACGCCCTAGTTCTGGTAGATGTTAATTTGGCGTCCCTAGGGCCAGGGGGGACTAATTGATCCTGTGACTCGGATCTCAGTGCTCTCGGGGGAACATACGAGGAAAGGTGGTCCCGCAGGTAGGTAGGCCCCAGACCATAAAGGGCTTTAAAGGTCATAACCAGCACCTTGAAGCGTATCCGGAACGCTATTGGCAGCCAGTGCAGCGCCCTCAGCACCAGATGGATGTGCTCCCGCATAGGGGCACCCGCCAGCAACCTGGCTGCGGCATTCTGCACCAGCTGCAGCTTCCGAAGTTGCCCCAAGGGCAGCCCCATGTAGAGAGCATTGCAGTAGTCTAATCTTGAGGTGACCATCGCATGGATCACTGATGCCAGATCATTGCGTTCGAGGAAGGGAACCAACTGCCTAATCAGCCGTAGATGATAAAAGGCCACCTTGGCAGTGGCTGCTACCTGGGCCTCCATTGTCAGGGAAACATCCAGGAGCACTCCCAAACTCCTGACTCTCGGAGCTGGCACCAATGGCACCCCACCGAAGGCCGGGAGTGGGAGCCCTACCCCCGTACCGCTCCGATTCAGGCATAGGACCTCCGTCTTCATCGGATTTAGTTTCAGTTGACTCTGTCCAAGCCAGTCCGCTA